TAGTCAAATCAAGATGCGTATATCGTAACAACGAAATCTTTGTAGTCACTTTCAAATGTCTTCAACGAAATCGTGGCCATTGGAGCTAAATTTAAGCAGGATAACGTATACTGGTTTCTTTCCTGTCTATAAGTTGCATTATGATACTACTAATGCTTTGATAAAGCCTTTGTAACCTTCAATTGGAAACTTTTTTTTCTGTTTTATTAGAGACTCAAATGAAAAGCAAGAAAGTAGCTAAATGCGCCTCGCACATACATACCTGACACAGGATAACTTTGATTATCGTTTTTCCAAATGTAGCACAACGCGTCGGGCTTTTTGTTGATCGCTACAATTAAGTTTTCCTTTTTTATTTTGGTAAAAGCATTGAAGTCCAGAAGCAAAGAAGAAGTGAAGGAATGTTACTTCTAGAATCGCTAGAATTTAACTGAGTCGTTGTGTTGTGATCTACGTGAGCAGCCTAGGAACTCCATTGACGAGGTAAATAGGAGCACATAAAGTTTAAATAATGCACGTAGCCTTTTAATTCCCTTTGCTTTTTTCGCTTTCAATTTTCCTGTTTTGTGAGGGAAATAAACAGGAACTTAAAATAACTCCTAGAAAAACAGTTCGATGGGCTTTTGCTTAAAGCGGAAAAACCGATTCGCACGTGTTCTCAAGATCGGGCATGTCCTCGAAGAATCCTTTTGCAGCTAACAATTTACACGTTTTACACGTTTACACAATTTATGATGCAGCATTATATTTCGGAACGGATCACTTTTCAACTGCAATTATGATTGGATAAAAACTCAGCAGAGGGTTTATCGTTAAGGGAGCAAACAGCACAACACTTTGAAATGCAGCTGTTTCAAATCAGTATCGACCGGACTTCAAACGTGTTGCGTTCTCCTGCTGACGTAATTAGATCAAGGATAAGCCTACTCGTATACAGTTAAGAAATCATAATCCGCAGGCGTGCAGCGGTGGATAATCGATTGTTGTCAGCTTGTTTTCATTCACATGAGGCTTAATGCAGTTAGAACCTTCTGCCTGAGTACCGCACACGTTTGAATACCACAACTGAATTTGGAGTGCCACACTAGGATAAT